AGCTCACCCGAAACAGCAGCACATGGGGAGGAGCTTAGGCCCAGGACAGAAAAGGCCTTGAGTCTGGATGGATTGTTTGCTGTTTCTTTAGACATGAATTTGAGTTGAATCTCACCAAGAAACATGCAAACCAAAGCAAAAAAGAAAAAGCAAATGTTTGAGCACTGAACATTGTGATTGATCCAACTCTGGGTTCCTGAGAGGACTGATCCTGCTGCAGCTGAGTGAAGGGCTGTCCAAGCCTGTGGCCAGACTCCTTCAGCTCAGGAGAACCCAGAGGCTTTCCTGCACTAGTCTTTGTGTTGCATTGGCTGAAAACAGACCAAAGCTGAAAGCCAAGTAAACACCCCTTTGGATGGTTTCCTTCCATTAGGTGGTAATGAAATACTAACTACCTAGATTGGGGCTTCAAGCATCCTTGCAAATGTGACTCATTTGGAGGGGAATTCCTTTAGCTCCTTTGAACCAATAATTAAGCATGTGTAAGTGCCGATGTTCATCTGAACGTAATCAGAACCAGAATGGGCTGCCTTCCACGTCATCTGCCAGACGTTTCTGTCATCCTGGTGGTGGGTCTGACAGCAGGTTTTTTCACCACTTGGAACAGGCCTGTTAGGGCTTGTGCTTGGGTCTTGTAAGGATAGCTGTTTACTGGGTGCGTAAGTGACTTAGAGCAAGCAGCACACATTTATGTTGAGCATCTCCACAGAAGTGCCTGACTGGGATCCAGAGTGTAATTGAAGGCTTTACCTCCTGCATGACGACAGCCCAGACAGGGTTAGGAGCACTCAAATAAATGTTTACTGGAGCTGCCCTTTCACATAAAAGACCACAGCAGGGTCTTCCATGTCAACTTTTAGGAGCCAACTAGCATTTTTGAAGTTACATTTAAAAACTTGAGCTGACTCACAGGTGGTTCTGGCATTACTTGGGAGCACAGAGGACAGTGAGTAACTGAGACCTAACTAGATCTAAGGGTGGTTAGTTAGTAGGGGTGGTCAGCACTGATGGCCCAGGGCCGGAAATACAGGTAGGTAAGCTGATGGGGCCCCAGCAAAGTGCTTACAAGGCAGGGGCAGTGGAGATCTGTTCTTAAACCATGTTGAATATGTGAGTTAAGATTCACGTAGAAAAACATCTATCACCAAGATTTAGACAGACAAGTCTTGGTGTCCCTGGTTTTTCTCTGGGTGTGAGCACTGCTTATGTCTAAGTAGGACTTCAGTAGGGTGAGGCCACGCCTGGTGTGTGGCAGTCCAACAATCGCCTTGTTCACAAGACACACTGCAGCTTCACAGAGTAACTCCGTTGTGTGTTGTGTGTAGTGTGGGTACTTACCAAGGTCAGTGCATGCTGTGGGGCCTCCTACATGTTGCTTACCTGGGGATGCGTAGGATGATGGCAGCACTCAGTGTTACCTATAAGAAATAGTAAGGAACTGCTGGGGGATTGTGTACTTGACTAGTATGTGTGAGGTTCTGGGTTCAGTCCCTTGTAGCAGGGGAAAAAAAAACCAGGAGGTCATGTTTTCAATAACAAGTGGGGGAGGAGGGGCTACATAGAGCTGCTGTTGGCTATGTGACCCAAGAAGATGGCTGTCAGGAGTAGGAGCGCTTTCCACAAAGAGCCTCCTTTCAACTTGGTTGAGAAAGCCTTGGGAGCTAGATCCCTGATTCCTTTGCAGTGACCACCATGCCAGAGGTGGCTTTTCCTTATTGGAGCAGGTATAGACATGAAACTTTGATCTGAATCCTGACTGAAGGATGGCGACAGGCACTTAGTTCTTGTTTTGGTTACTGTAAGGAGGTCTGAGTGGTACTGTCCGGGTTAGAAAGCAGAGAAGAGCCCATGTTTTTAAAGAGTTAGGTGCATAGCATGCACCTGTAATTCCAACGTTCAGGGTGAGATCAGAGACAGAATCAACTGGAAACTGACTTGCATAATTACCTGGACTTGCATAACTGCAGAAATGAGAGACCCTGTCTCAGGACTGGTGAGATGGGTCAGCAGGTGAAGGCTCCTGCAACCCAGTCTGACTCTGAGGTCAACCCCAGGATCCACATGGTGGAAGTAGGGGAAGCCAGTTCTTGACTTCACATATATGCCATGGCACACGCACACGCTGTCCCGCCCCCTCAAATACAAATGTAATAAAAAGATTTAAGGCATGGTGGCACATACCTTTAATCCCAGCACTAGGGAGGCAGAGGCAGGAGGATCTCTGTAAGTTCAAGGCCAGCCTGGTCTACATAGTGAGTTCCAGGACAGCTGAGCTACAGGGAGACCCTGTCTCAAAGAGACCCAAAAAAAAAAAAAGACTTGCTACAACAAGGTGGAAGGCAAGAAGTGACCCCAGAAAATCATCCTCTGACCTCCACGTGTGTGTTGGGTTGCACACACACAATAAATGAATTTTTAGAAACAAAAGCACTGCTTATGTCTAAGTAGGGTGAGGCCAGCAGGCTCCTGAAGCCAGTCTCAGAGGTTAAGGTATGCTTAGGTGAGGAGTGCGGCACTGGCTCTGTGGTAATGGCAACCTGAATAGCTAAACAACTTGTCACACACCCATTTGATTACTCTTCAGTTGAGAAGAATACAGCACAGAGCTGGGTTTTGATAGCACGCTGCCTCGGAAATACATAATTAAATAGAAAGGGAAAGAATAGTGCAATAAGTTTTGGCTGCTGGCATTGTAGGATCTTTGGAACATTTAGAACTGTGCCCAAAGGCAGGTGCCAGCAGGACCTAGGACACAGCGTGCTCCCTGCTGACTGACCACACCCACTGGTGACCCAGGCCAGGGGTAGGGTTAAGTCAGGAAGGGCCTGCCTGTTAAGGGCAGTGTCATCTCATTGCCCTTGACCTCACTTTTCGGACTGCCCCACTTACTTGAGGCTGTTGGAGCTGAAGCCAATGAGCTTTGGCTGGAGTTGAACCCACCAGCTTTCTCCCAGGGGTCAAGCCCCTTGTAGCTTTCTCCTTTTAACACTTTTCCATGCACCTATCAGGGAGATTTACTTACACATTGGGTTTTGGTTGCTCAGGGAAGGTACTTAAAGGGCATCTTGTGAGTGGAGTCAGGAGACCTTGGCCTTCTCCACCACTTGCCTTGTACAACATACAGTACTTGTATAACGTAACAATCTTTGACTGCCAGAGCCCCTGCTTTCTGCACTGGAACATAATGCTTGCCCAATGTTCACGTTAATCCCATGAGTTCATATGGGAAACAGAAAGGTGAACATTGCACAGAGCCATGAGACAATGGCTGCATCCCACAGACCTTCCTCCATGGGTATCTCAGGTCACCTGTGGCCAGCTATCCCACTTCCTAAGCACTTCCCCGAGGGACTGTTCAGCTGGCATCTGCTTGCAGGCTGGCCATTATGGCAAGGGCCTGAACTGGGGGGCCTGTTCGTGGAGGGATTGGAAGTGGGCCTGGGCAGCCACTGGCCTGGTCCTTTGCCTCCTACCTATGATGTCACTGGTGCCCACCCATGAAGATCACTCAGCACACAGCGAGAATATGGGGATAAGTGGCCTGGATCTGGGCCACTTTCCACCACCGCCAGAACCCTAGAACTCTAGGGGGCAGGGTCCAGCTCTGCTTTCTGGGCAGGGGCAGAGGTGGAAAAGGACAGGACAGGGACTAAGTCTGTGCTTGGCCTCCCTCTGCTCAGCCAGAATGTCTACCTCTGAAGTTTCCATAGCATCTCTGAGCATGAAGGGCATGCCACCTTAACCACCAGGATGCTGGGCTTGGCCTCCCCATCCATTCCGATGTTCCTTTTGCTAAGCCAGCCACCCACCAAAATGGTTCTGGAATGTTAACGCCTTCCTGGTTTGGATTACTCCCTGCTTTGCTGGAAAGGGGCAAGAGGAATAGCCCTTTACTTTGAAGCAGTTCCCAGTAGGAGTCCAGAACTCCAACCACTGAACAAAGGGAGGGGGCTGGGCCTGTTCCCTGGAGCCCCACAAGCCACTTCTGCCCTGTGTACTCCAGCAGCACAAGCAAGACTGGCCAGACCAGGGGCCACATGGGCACCCAGCCTAGCAGCAGTGAGTAGGCTAGAAGAGGTCAAAGGAAGCTTCTTACTCCTGGGTGAGACTCCTCTCCACCACCACCAGCCCCCCATTAGTCACAGCTGGGGACGCCCAGGGAAGTGGAGACAGTCCTGAAGCCAGCCATGCCATGGGGCCTTGTGGGCAAGAAGACAGAGGACAGCTTTGCTGGGTACTTACAGGAAGCTAAGGCCTGCTTTGCAGGTCGTGTGGGGATTAAATACTGTAATCGACTTGAAGGCCTTTGATGCGGTTGGGCACAGGGCTGCTGTTTCCATTATGGGACTAGATGCAAGCTGGCAGGCTCCCCAGATCACTGCGTCACTGGTGACAGTAGAACCAGCTTCCCTGTACAGAGGGGTCCCCTGCCTGCCGCACCCCGCCCCTGTATACAGGACTTGGCTGCTGCTGGGGATGGGGTCTTATTCCACAAAGGTTGGTTGGGATGCAACCCCTCTGTAAAGATGCATCTTTGAGCTGGGAGAGGGCTGCAGAGAGGCCCTCAGCAAACACCTTGCTGGAGCTGCCCAGGCCCCACCCTGCCTTCCAGTGCTGACTCAAACAGCCCTGACCCCATAGCTCCTTAGTACAGAACCCACCAGAAAGCTTCCAGGGACATGAGGGCAGGTGGTAGAAGCTAGAAGTAATTCCTCTGGCTGGGCAGACCCTCTAGTGTTGTACAAACTGAGCTAGCCTGCTGGTGAGCCCTCCTCAGTTCTCCCCAAGATTCTTGGAATTCTTTGCCCCTGAAAAGGAAAGGAGGCTGGCAGGAGTTTGCTCAGAACCCTCAGTGGTGGCCTGCTGCTGGCTGCTTTTGCTCGAGCAGAGGGGCAAGTCCCTGGTAGACCTGGCCTTCCCAGATGGGTCTGACGGCCAGAGCAAGTCTATTCCAAGTGTTCCAGAGCCAGTGAGAGGACATGAGACAGCAGGTTCTGGGCCCAGCTGACTTTATTAGCTCCACATGCAGCTGGGGGGAGCAGGGGGAGTGTGTGGAAGCTGACATCCCCCGGGCAGCCCATGGGGCTTGTGCTGAGGTCTAATGTCCAGCGGCTTGGAGGAGTTCCAGGGCCAGGGCAGCCACCGCGCTGTCCACAGGTGAGCTGTGGAAGAACAAAGCAGGAACACTTAACAGACGTGTGCCGGCCAGATGTCCCCTTTGGGACAGCACCCAAGTAGCCAAGGGGCCAGCTGCTTCTCAGAGCAGCCCACCAGCATTATCTTCCCAGGAAGCAGAACAAGAGCCCCTATAGCCCATAGTCCCTGGCCGGGTCAGTACCTCCCAGCTAGGCCTCAGCCCGTGGGCCCTGGCTGCCATCTGAGCCCCTTAAGGCAGATCAGAGCTGTTGCTCTGCAGGTCAGTGGAGGGTAGCAACCTGTGCTCAGCCTGGGCCCTCAGCAGGCCTGCTCAGCCCCATTTACCAGACTGTTCCACCCCCCACTCTGCCCTATGCTGCCAGCTCCCAGCCTGTCCACCAGGAGCTTTGAGGGTTTTGCTGTCAAGAGGTATGGATGTGCAATTAAGAACTTAAAATGAAAACTTGGGTTGGGAGAGTAAATTGAGACCCATGTAAACCTGACTTAACAGCTGTGAACAAAAAAGGGATCTAGAGAGGTGGCTCAGTGGTTAAGAGCACTGGCTACTCTTGCAGGGGACCTGGATTTAGTTCCCAGCACCCACATGGTGGTTAACAAGCATCCATAACTCCAGTTCCAGGAGATCTGACACCGTCTTCTGACTTCCGTGGACACTGTATGACACAGGTGCATTTACACATAAATTTTTTTTTTTTTAAAGGACACCATTGGCGGCAGCCCCTTGAAGGGGAAGACTAGCCTATTGGCACTCTCCACAGCACAAAAATAGATCTGTTAGCAAATAAACGGGGTGGGTGGGGTGCCATGAAAGCTACCATGGCAGTGGGATGGGGCTGCCACCCAGAGACAGTGCCATGCATTCCTGCTCTGCATCAAAGGCCCTGAGGGATGGCGGGAATGTCTTTGAACTCAGGCTGCTCGTGGTGAAGTCTGGGCCAATCTAGTGGGGCCACTCTGCCCACCCTGCCCATCAGACCCCAGAGTGGCTGTCATGGTAGAAGGCCAACTTCTGGTAGGGCAGCATCTGAGCAGAGCACTGCCGCCCATCAACTGGCCTTGTTAGGTGGGGACATCCCAACAAAGTATAAAGGAGACAGCAAGGCCCGCCTGAGAGCTGGTATGGGCAGAGGAGAGGCATGGAGCTTTTACAACATGGAGCCTCGTTTGGACACATTTTGCCCAAATTTGGATCCAGCAAAAAATAACCTTGCCTGGGCAGGTGAGTCCCAGAAAGCCAGTATGAAAGGAGAGGCTTCCGGGAGCTAGCTGACAACTTCCCTGTTCAGTGGTCCTCCCAGCCACACACCCACACCCTGACCCCCCATCCAAATTAGCCTCTCTTCCTAACCTTATTTAAAAACAAACAAACAAAAAAAAAAAACATGGTTTCTGGCACAGTAAAGGGGCTGAGATGGCAGGACTGCATGTGGGTGCTGACTGGAGCTGAGAGCTCACCTTAGGGCCTCAGCTCTACATTTCCCTTCAGATGAATCCCAGACATCTGAAAACAGAACCCACAGGAAATGCCAGAGACCAGTATCTGTCTCATCCACTGAAGGTCAGGATGTCCCACCCCACCCCCTTTTAAAAGGTGGCTCCTCCTGAGGGACTAGAGCCACCTCCTTCGGCTCTGGGGGCACTGGCTAGAGGCAGTCACTGAGCCCTGGCCAAGTTGCAGCCCTGGACTGACTGGTGGAACCCCAGTCTGTTCCCTAAGTTGGGTGGCTCATGTTTCCCGTCACCACACTGAAAGTTCCCAGCTGTGAAATGCTTCATGTTCCTTCCTATGGTTGGGGAAGAAATGGTTGAGAGCGGGTGCTGACCAGAGCAGTCACACAGCTCTTCTTTGGCCCCCATACCTGTGAGCTGGAACCAGCTGCTCCAGTACCTGCAGAAGGCTGCCAGCATTCTTGAGGCCCTCCAGGTGTTTTTCATTGGAGGTGACCTGGAAGAGAGGGAAAGACAGTGGTCAGGTAGTCCTTCCCTGACTCGTCCCCATTGGAGCGACACCCTGAGGGTCAGGCCCAAATCTTGCCCCAGGAGTAAGGACATTGGGGGATGTCCCTAGTTGGTCAGCATCCCCCATCCTTGTACCCCACACTGCAAGTGCTGCTGATGATAGGGATGTGTGACTAGACAAGGGTGACTCCTTGCAGAGGGTAGAAGGGACTCCGCTGTGGCTGGAGGTGGTCACTTCAGGGAGGAGTAGGGGACCAGGGCTGTGTCTAGAAGCCTGAATTTCCAGCAAGCCAAGGTGGTAACGGGATGTTTCCTCAGAGCTCAGAGCCCAATGCAGTCTCTTTCACATGAGTAGAAGTATGATTCTGGGTACCCAGAGATCTGGGAAGCCTGAGAAAAGAGATCAACTCCAGGAAGGGTTCCCAAGCTAATCACCACCATCGGAAGCAGCCCACTAGGCTTCCCTGACTTCCAAACTCACCAGCACATCATGATCACTTGTGGCTTGGATGGGAACTGATGGGCCAGGTCACCCGGGGCACCTCCTGTTACACCCCTCTGAGCACATGTCCCCTGAAAGGAAGGAGGCTATTCAGGAGTGACCCCATGGTGCTATCATCCTGTTTGGCCTGATTCATCTGCAGCCTATTTTTAACACTTGTGGAGCTCTTGGCATCTCAGAGGGCTCTGCTGTCTCCTGCTTTCTCCTGTGTTCTTAACAGCCACACCTTGCAAAATAAGCATGCTGTGTGTGCTCTAGGTACCATTCTCCCAAAAAGCCTGAGCAGATGGAGGAAATGAATGTGCACCTCCACTGAGACCCTCCCCTATGATCTGGGGGTGCCAGAGGTGAGCTGTCTGATCAACTGGCATTAGCTGTGGTTTCTGCAATGACATACATAAAAGACCTTGGTGGGGGATTGGGCTGATGGGAAGATGGGGCTGGTGAGATGGCTCAGCAGTTAAAAGCACTGACTACTCTTGTAAAGGACCCAAGTTTGGTTCCCATCACCTACATGGTGGCTAACAACCACCTGTAACTCCACTTCCAGGGGATCCAACACCCTCTTCTGGCCTCTGCAGGCATTGCACACATGTGGTGTACTTACTTACATGCAGGCAAAACAATAGAAAAAAATTGTTTCTTGATCTGACAATGTTGGCTGTGACTCCATGTCTAAGGTAAGCACAATCTTGCACACCAAAGGGACAACCCAAATTAGAGATCCCTGAGAAGATTCTCACTCTCCCCCACCCCCCAGATCTGCAAAGCTGAGCTTCAGGATTGCATGCAGAGGCTCTGCTCCCAGGAACTGACCCACAGGCTGCAGTGAAATGACCACCCTAACCCACAAGGCTGGCTAGAAGATGTGAATAGGAAAATAGAGGGAGAATCAAGTGATCAAAATAATGGGCCAAAATAGCATCCTTTGCACCTGATATAAACACAGGTTAGATAAAGAAAACTGAAAATGGACCGGATCTGACTGACCCAGGACCTGGGTTGTTCTCAACCTTAGGCAGAGAAGCTTCTTTTTGCAGTGGACAGCAGTCAATGGAGAGATGCATAATTGGTCAAAGTGCTGAGAACAAGAGACAGTACCCAGCCCGTGCTGGGTATCTTTAGTGTCCACTTGACACACCTGGGTTGAAGGAGCCTCAACTGGGGAATTGCCTCCATAGGACTGGCCTGTGGCCATGTCTATGGGGCATTTTCTTGATTGTTGAGTGATGTGGGAGGGCCCAGCCCACTGTGGGTGTTGCCACCCCTGGGCAGGTGGGCCTGTGTTACATAAGAAAACAGATTGAGCAGGGCCTAGGGAAGCAAGCTAGTAAGCAGTGTTCCTCCAGGGCTTGTGCTCCAGCTCCTGCCTTCAGGTTCTTGCCCTGGGCCCCCTGATGAACTAGGAGAGGTAAGCTGAATAAACCCTTTCCTCCCGAAGTTGGTATTGGTCAGTGTGTTTTGTCACAGCAGTGGAGAATCAAACTAGGACACAGCCTAAATGGGACATCTTTGTTCACACCCCCACCAAGGCTCAGAAGAGTAAGCAGAAAGAATTAGGAGTGGAGGATGGGGGAGGAGGGCAGGGAATGCAGTCTTCTTGACATGACATGGCTATTGCACACATAAGCTGTGGTTGCCTGCTCAAGACTCCAAGATCAAGCCAGCCACAATTCCAGCATGGATGGGAGGAGGTGCCCCCTTCAGGCCCCATCACTTACGAGTAGCTATTGGCAGCTGAGCTGCTGGGGGAGAATCTTTTATTTTTCCCCCAGACAGGGTCTCTCCATAGCCACAGCTAGCCTATAACTGGCTTTGTAGACCAGGCTGGCCTCAGTCTTACAGAGACCCTACTGCCTCTGCCTCCAAGTGCTGAGATTAAAGGTGTGTGCCACCATGCCTGGCTGAGAATCATTCTTTTTTGAGGGTGTTCCCACTGGTAGGTTTCCTGTGATTCAGTGGACTACCCCACATCCATGCACCTTTTAACAACACTAATAGGACTTGGTGAGTTACTTAAAAAAAAAAAAAAAGACATGAAGTTGGAAGGGAGACATGTTGGGGGCATATAGGGAAAGTTGAGGGAAATGGGAATATAATCATTTTATCGTATACATGAATCACATGAAAAAAGAAAATTTATAATTGAAAAATAGAAGGCTGAAGTGGTTTGAGCACTTACCTGAACTCACTAATAGGATCAACTACTGCCCTATATGTAAGGATGAGTACATTAGACATGGCAGCTCTGGAAGCTATGTCCTTAGAAGCTTCCAGAACTAGGTGAGACAGAGACCACACATGCCACCCTTTCTGTCTCCCTGAATGGATGCAGAACCACTCCTGAGGAGGCTGGTAGGTGAAGGGTGGACAGGCTGGTGGAAGCAACCACCCCATCTTTGCCTGGGTATAGGCCAGGGCTGACCTCCACAAACCAGCCCCAGAGGTGAGTGAGGTAGGGAGAATGTTCCAGGAGATGCCAGCTGGAGGCATGGGACCTGCTCTTGCAGAAGACCCAGGCTCAATTCTCAGCTCCCACATGGTAGCTAACCATCTAAAACTCCAGTTCTAGGGGCTCCAACGACCTCTTCCTGCCCCCGCCAACATCTTCTGGCCTCCTTAGGCACTGCATGACACAGATGCAGGCAATATACTCATACACATAAAATTTTAAGAATAAGTAATTTTATAAATATTTTTCCTAATTTTATTCGTATGCGTGTACTGTGTGCATGTAAGTAAGTGCGCCTGTGTCATGCAATGCCTGTGGAGGTCAGAAGAGGCTGTTGGATCCTCTGGGACTGGAGTTATGGACAGTTGTTAACTGCCATGTGGGTGCCAGGATTTGAACCCGGGTCTTCTGCAAGAGCAGTCAGTGTTCTTTGCACACCCCATTTTTAGGAGATCAAGGAGTACGAAGACTCTTGAACTCACAGAGATCCATCTGCCTCTGCCTCCCGAGTGCTGGGATTAAAGGCATGCACCACCACGTCTGACTTGTAAAATATTTTTTTAAAGAGAAAGAGAAAAGTATCTGAAGAAATCAGAGCTACAACTATTCCAAATGTGATGAAAATAGGTTTGTAACAAGATACAGTCGTCCCCTGTCCCCCCTCCCACCCCCTGCCCAATTCACGACAAATGCCTCAATGCAGGCCAGGCATGATGGTGCATGCCTGTTACCACAGCACTTTGGAGGCAGACACAGAAGAATCAGATTAAGGTCATCCTCAGCTATATAAATGAGCTCAGGGTCAGTCTGGGCTATAGGAGACCCTGTTTCAAAACAAAGGAAACAAATACCCAACAGATACCTCATAAGCCAAACTTGCTAGAGAAACTTCAAAGCAGACAAAACTAAGTGAATAAATAATTCAAGACTTAGTAGGCAGTAATGATTTGAATGACTAGATTTCTCATCAGAAGTCAGCAAGCCCAGGTGACTTGAAGAAAATGGAGAGACAGCTCAGCTGTTAGAGCACTGGCTGCTCTTGCAGAGGACCTGGGTTCCATTCCCTACAATTCTGGCTAACAACTGTCTGTAACTCCAGTTCCAGGGAACCCAGTGCCCTCTTCTGGCTTCCATGAGCATTGCATGACACAGGTGCACTTACATACATGCAGGTAAAATATTCACAGACACAAAATATAAATAATATTTTTTTAAAGTGGCACATCCTTAAAGTGCTACAGTAGCTGAACTATCAAATCAGAATTCCATGTCCATCAGAAAGAAGCCAGAAATGACAGGCTGGAGCACCATGGGGGGCCGGGGAGGGGCCTCAGAGGAAGTAATGATGCTACAGAGCCATTCTGAGGAACTGCTCAAGGAAGTTCCTCAGGGAGGAAGGATGCTAGGAGTGAGGAAACCACACTAGCATAGGAGAGAGGAGAAAGTGCTCTCTCCTTAAAATACATTTCAGAGGAGACAAGCAAAATGTGTCATGTTGCCTGCTGAAGCTTCCAGTGTGTGGGGATGGACTAGACGAGAAAAATGGGCAGGGAGCATAAAGCAGGGATGCAAAGAAGGTGACAAGAGCTATAAGCTACATTCCAATTGATGTGGAAAAATATTAGTGCTAAGTACATTGTGAAAATATTTTTTAAATATTTATTTACTTATTTATTTATGCATGTGCCCGTACATGCTGGTCCCTGCAGAGACCAGAAGAGGTGTCAGATCCCTGGAGCTAGAGTTACAGGTAGTTGTGAGCTGCCCTACATGGGTGCTGAGAACTGGAGTCCAGTCCCCTGGAAGAGTTGCAAGCATTCTTAACCACTGAGCCATCTCTCCAGCTCCTTGTGAAAGTATTTTATAATCCCAATAGCTATTGCCAAAAAAATTATACAAAGAGACATAATAAAAGCATAATGGATATATTAAAAAGCAACACTAAAAATGTTCAAGTATAATAAAAGAAGGCAGGAAAGGAGAGTAAGGAAATGAAAACATTGGGAATAAACATAAATCAAATAAAAAAAGT